ACTCCAAAATGTTCTGAAGGACATTCTAGAAAGAGATAACAAGGACTAAAACTCCAAGAATCCCAACAGAATGAATCCACCAGGCAAGGCAAGTAATTAAACGGGGGGGGGCGGGGGGAGGGAGGGGAACCAACAATAGGAAAATAACATGACAAGGAAAAGTCAGTACATATCAGTTATAACCATCAGTGTAAGTAGTCTCAATTCACCAATGAAAAGAAACAAACTGGGAGAATGGATCAAGAACCAAGATCCAATAATATGCTGCATACAAGAAATACATTTAATACAAAAAGAAATTCATAGACTTATAGTCAAAGAATGGAAAACAATACTCTGTATGACAGGAACCCAGAAAAAAGAAGGGGTAGCTATCCTATTTGCAGACAAAGTGGATTTCAAGGCAAGACTGATTAAGAGAGACAAAGAAGGGTACTACATCCTACTAATAGGAGCAATCCAAGAGGAAGAGATAACAATCATAAGTGTCTATGCACCAAATATGAGTGCATCTAACTATATACAACAAATATTAATGGACATAAAAAATCAAATAGGCACTAATACAGTTGTAATGGGAGACCTCAGTACCCACTGTCACAATGAGACAGATCAACTAGACATAAAATCAACAAAGAAATATCCGAACTGAACCAACTTCTGAACAAATGGACATAATTAATGTCTACAGAGTGTTGTACCCCATAATATTAGAATGAAGATTCTTCTCAGTTGCATGTGGGATGTTCTCCAAAATAGAGCACTAACTCATGGAACACGCTTATGTAAATGCAAATGAATTGAAATTATCCCATGTATATTATCAGATGATAGTGCAATGAAGTTGGTAATCAATGGCAAAAGAAACCACAAAATCTTCATGAATACATGGAAATTAAATAACACCCATCTGAACAACCAATGAGTCACAGAAGAAATTAAAGAAGAAATTAGACAGTTTCTACAATTAAATGAAGATGCCAGTACAGCATACCAGAACTTATAGGATACAATGATAGTCCAATAAAGGAAATTTATAGCAATGAATTCTCATATCAGAAAAACAGAGTAAGCTCAAAGAAACAACCTAATAATGTTACAAACCTCAAGCTTCTAGGAAAAGAAGAGCCCAAAGCTTGTATGAGGGAGGAATTTACAAAGATCATAGTAGAAATTAATGCAACTGAGACTAAGGAAATAATACAAAGAATCAACGAGGTTGGTCTTTGAAATATTAAATAAAATTGAAAAACCCTTAGGCAACCTTATCAAAAAAGGAAAGCAAAGACTCAAATTCATGCAATTAGGAATGAAAAAAGTGAAATCACAACAGATCCTACAGAAATCCAGAAGGTCATCAATACCTACTTTGAGAACCTGTACTCTAATAAGGTAGAATACACAGACGAAATGGACAGATTCCTAGATACATATGAATTACCAAATTGGAATCAAGAAGATATAAAAATTCTAAATAAACCAATATCAATCTAAACATTAGAATTACCAATTCAAATAAATCAGTAAAACTGAAGATGTAATTTAAAACCTACCAACAAAGAAAAGCCCAGGACCTAATGGATTTACTGCTGAATTTTACAATTTAGAGAAGACCTAATGCTGCTACTTCTCAAACTCTAATGAAATTGAAAGGAAGCAACACTCCCAAATTCATTCCTGGAAGCAAATTACCCTGATACCAAAAGCAGAGAAGGATCCAACCAAAAAGGAAAACTACACACCAATCTCCCTAATGAACATAGATACAGAAATTCTCAATAAGATACTGGCAAACAATGCAGCAAATCATCAAGAAGATTATACACCATGAACAAGTAGGGCTCAGGGATGCAGGGGTGGTTCAATATATGCAAATTAATAAATGTAATACACCATATTAACAGAGCCAAGGACAAAAACCATATGATAATCTGAACAGGTGCAGAAAAAGCATTTGACAAAGTCTAATGCCCTTTCATGATAAAAAAGAAAAACCCTATAGAAAATTGGAATATATGGACTTTCTCTCAATTGGGTAAAAACCATCTATGATAAAATAACAACCACCATCAAACTAAATGGACAATACCTGAAAGCTTTCACTCTAAAATCAGGAACAAGGCAAGGATGTCCACTCTCACCACTCTTATTCAATATAGTTCTGGAAACATTAACCAGAGCAATTAGACAAGAGAAAGTAATAAAAGGAATAAGGCTAGGAAAGGAAGGAATTAAATTATCATTATTTGTGTATGTCATGATACTCTACATAGAAGACCCACAAAGACTTCTATATTTAATAACCAAATTCACTAGTACAGTTGGACATAAAGTCAAGTCAAAAATCAATAGCATTCCTGTACACAAATAAAAAAAACTCACTGAGTGAGAAATTAGGGAAACAACACCTTTCACAATAGTATCCAAATAAATGACATACCTAGGAATCAATCTAAGGAAGGAAGTAAAAAACCTTTATATTGAAAACTACAGTATTCTTAAAAAGGAGATGGAAAAGGATATTAGAAAATGGAAAGATATCCCCTATTCTTGGGTAGGGAGAACCAACATAGTGAAAATGGTCATATTTCCAAGTCTGTTACACAAATTTAATGCAATCCTGATCAAAATATCAATACCATATTTCATAGAATTAGAGAAAACAACAACAATTAGAGAAATTTGTTTGGAAACAGAAGAGACCTAGACTAGCACAAGCAATTATGGGCAACAAAGGCGAGGCAGTGGGCATCACAATTCACAATTCCTAACTTGAAATTGTTCTACAAAGCTACTGTGATTAAAAAAACAGCATGATACTGGCAAAACAAATAACAACAACTACAAAATAAAACAGACCCTAGGATCAATGAAACAGATTAGATACAGAAATAACTCCAAACACATGCAGCCAACTTATCTTTGACAAAAGAGCCAACCATCTTCACTGGAAGAAAGCTAGCCTCTTTAATAAGTGATGCTGGAAATACTGGTTTTCCACATGCTGAAGATTTAAACTTGACCCACATCTTTCACCATGCACTAAACTAAAATCAAAATGGATCAAAGATCTAAATGTTAAAATAGAAACATTAAATCTTCTGGAAGTTTGAATAGGTAGAAATCTTGAAGACACTGGTGTAGGCAAAGACTTTATGAACAGAATCCCTATTGCACAGGAAAATCACACAAAAAAACAACCACTGGGACTTCATCTTATTGAAAAGCTTTTGCACAGCAAAAGAAACCACAAGCAGATTGAAGAGACAACCCACAGAGTGGGAAAAAAATTTTTGCCAGCTGTTCCTCAGACAAAGGACTAATATCTAAAACATATAAAGGCCTCAAAACAAAGACCCCCCAAATTTAAAGAAATCTGAAAATGGTCATCTGAAAAGAATAGACACTTCTCATATGATGAGGTAGAAATGGCCAATAAATATATGAAAAAATGTTCAATATCACTGGTCATTCAAAAGCTGGAAATTAAAACAATGCTGAGATTGCATCTCACTCCAGAAAGAATGGTTATTATCAAGAAATCAACCAATAACAAACTCTGGCGGGGCTGTGGAGAAAAAGAAACACTTCTCCACTGTTGGTGGGAGTGTAGAATGGTACAAATCTGTATGGAGATTCCTAAAAAAAACCCAACCCTATAACTACAGGTGCCATTTGTCCCAACTATCCCCCTTCTTGATATCTTCCTGAAACAATGAAAAGCATCATACCACAGTGATATATGCACATCCATGTTTCTAGTGGCACATTTGTAATAACTAAATCTTAGAAATAGCCCAAATGCCCATCAATTGATGAATAGATGAAGAAGATGTGGGTTTTTTTATACAATGGAGTACTACTCTGCCATAAAGAGAGATAAGCCTAAGACATTTCTAGCAAAATGAATGCACCTTGAGAGCATACTTATAAGTGAAATAAATTGGAAACACATGTTTAAATACCACATTATTTTTCTGGTATGAGAAACCAAAAGTGTAAATAAGGACCAACATATATAATAGATATTGGGAAATGGGAAGAAAATGTTTGAATGGGAAGGGGAACAAAGGAGCGGGAGAGGAAGGACCAAGGGAAAAAGAATAGAAGGAAAAAAATGGAAACAGAGTTTTTGTAAATAACAAGGGGAAGAGTGGTTGAAGGGAGAGGAGGGGAATGGGGAAAAAAAGAAGCAAGATACATCATATACAGGTACAAATTCCCTATGATGAATGTTCCACTATGTATATCTAAAATGTACCAATAAGGAAAAAAGAGATCAAACAAATAACAAAAAATCCTATGAATATTTAGCTAACCTGACTCTAAGGGAACACAGCAAATTTTTAGGAAGGTGGAGAAGCAATGAGAGAATACATTTGCCTTTTTATGGGATATTTCTATATTGATTACTCTGACTCTTTGGTATATTAAATAATTTCAAATTTAAAAATGTAATCAGATTTCAATGTGAAAAGCATTTCCACTGATAACCAAATGTACAGAAAAAGGTTTAGGTAGTAATTAAAAGGAAAGGAAAAGCTATATGTACAAAGAAAATCATTCAACACTAAACTTCAAGCATAAATATGCTCATTTATAATTCATATATATAAATTAAACAATAAGTAGTTCATTAAATGACAAGGTATCTGCAAAATAGGATATATTCTATTAAATCACATTTATGTGCACTATGTGGTAATTACCATAATACAAATGACATAATGTTCATTTATTTAAAAAGATGCAGGGTTTGATGTATCGCCATATTCATATAGTTATGAGTAGGAAAGAGGTATAATCATACTCGATTCAAGATTTTCTATAACAATTTCAAATTTTTGATTGTATTATTTAAAAATTTCCAACTTTGTGTTTTCCTCTTTGTATGAGAATTTCATTGGAGAATCAAACCAACAGGAAAGATGCCTGCTTGCTATTCCAGGGAGGATAACTAACTGCCCAGCAGGTGTGTGTATTAGCGAAGAGCTGCTTACCTGCGAGTCCTGCTGGAGGAGGAGGACGGGTCATCCAAGCCAAGGAGGCGCTTCGGAAAGGCTGCATCAGCTTCTCTGGGACTGGGACACCGTTTCCAGACATCTTCCCCTTGGAGCTGCTAAAGAGGTCCCTGATGTCCTTCCTTTGTTTGGATTCTTGGAGGAAACTTTCAAAAGATTTATCTTTGGGTCTGAGGGAGGAAAATAATGAGGCTTTTTTCTTTGGACCCCTGGCAACATCTAGTAAGGTCTCTTGCACACCCACTTTCTGCAGGAGTGTGGGGACATCTCTAGCCTTGCTGCAGGGTGGGGATGTGAGCGCAGAAAACAGTGTAGGTTGCTGATTAGGCAATCCATGGGCAGAGTCAGGAGGGCAAAGTTCTGATGACTGGGCAGCCCTGGAAGCTGGGGAGCCCAGCGAGAAGAAGGTGGAGGCCCTGCTGGCTGAATGTTTCCTAGGCGACTGCTGGTTGCTGTCTTTATTAGAACCATGTCTCTGGAGGCTGAACGAGCTGGTAAAGGTGTGGGGCTGGCCTGTGGGCAAAGTTTTCGATTCTGGTTTGGCCCAGACCTTCTTCCCACCATCGGAGCTGTGGAGGAACTGCTCCAAGGACCTCCGGATGGCATTTGTAATGAGCCGCAGGGGTGACCTGGGCGGCGGCACACTTTGCTCCTCAGAAGCATGCACAGTCGGGGTCTGGTTCCCCTCTGGGGCCTCTATCTTGGCTGCTGGTGGCTCCTTGCTTCCCTGAGGGAGGCTCAGGGGTTGGAGTGGTCTCAGCGCCGGGCCTGCTCTGCCATTCCTAGTCCTCTCCTGGGAAAGTCTCTCTCCTGGCTGGAGGGGTGCACTCTCAGGGCAGGAGTCACTCCAATCCAGCAACATGGTCTTCTGCTCCTCGGTAAGAGCTAACTTCTTCAGCCTTGGCGTCCTCTCTGCCAGCTCTGACTCACCCTCTTGTCCCCTCGCGGCTCTAATACTGCCTTCCCCTGGGTCCTCTTCTGCCGTGAGAGACTGCTCTTGGTCTGGCAAGGACCTATCCTTCCCCACCGTGAGGTGTGGGTCTCCGTGGGTGCTTCTGGTACCCCCAGGAGGTGCTCCTGCTTCCTGGCACCCCCCAGAAGCCACCTCCACAGGGCTTTTGAGGCTCTGTCCACCAGGGCTCACCAGGCAATACTCTGCCCGCTCCAGCACCTCGCCGTGAGGTAGATACAGGGGCATTTCCTTGGGTGCCCCTTGGCTTTTAGCTCTCCTGAGAAAGATTGGGGTCGGACTGCAGTGATCTCTGGAGACTGGAGAGTGGGGGTCGTAAGCTGTTACCTAGAGGGGACGGGCACAAAGAGTGTTTATATCAAACTTTACAGCATTTATTTTTGTGGGTTAGGCAAATTTCAATCCACACACTGCTTCTTCTCTCCAGATCTCAGGTATTCAAAGTCAAAAAGGGATTTTGCCTAAGAATCACAAAGGGCTGCCCTTTGCTCTAAATGTCTGCTTGGAACCTGCTGCGATTTACCTGCAGCCCCCAAGTCCACTCTGATCGAGGGCCAGTCTGGGTCTTGCTGAGGTGGGTAGGAAGCCAAAGGGAGGCAAAGGCAGGGGTGCTGCTGTCAGCATGCCCCTGAGCTGGGGTGAGCAGGGCCAGCCTCGAGGCAAGATTACCCATATCTTTCTCAAGCATGGTCCCCACACGTAAGTGTGTTCCTCTAACAACCAAGAAAACAGAGTGTATGCCTTGGAGGCCATCTGGTAAGGGTGACAGTTATCCTTCTGGGTTGGAACTGCAGTGACAGAGGATGGCCATAAGAAACTTCGGAGGACCTTTCTAAAGATCACACATTGCTCTGCAGAGAAAGCGATTTCCACCATGCAGGAACTTGGCTCTTGGCAAGTGAAGAACATAAGTGAACTCTGGAAGGGGCAGCTGTGACCTGCCAAGAGCTCTGGGGCCCAAGGGGCACTCATAGGATGGGGGCTTCAGCAGAACCCCCATCTTTCTGCCTGGAACTGACTACCTCCCAGATCCTGGCATTGGCCTACCAGGAAACAGACACTGGATAAATACATACAAAAAGAAAGAGTCCAGCCATACATATCAAGGATGACATTTTCTTTGCCAAAGGCTCTCACACTCCGGTGCCTGGCATCCTTCAGCTGGAAGCTCTTTAATGTGCTCTGTGTGTTTCCCAAGGGCAGCGCACATGTTCTAGTGTCAGCACCCCAATGTCCAGCAGAGTCTCCCTCCTGAAGGACTATTGGGGTGGCTGTGTCCTTGGTGGTAGTTGAGAAGAAGCAGGACAAGCTTTTACGAAAGACGTGTGCAGGAGGCCTGGAGTGGAACCTCGATGGAGCCTCTTTCTGGCCCTGGCCTTGCACTTGGGGGACCTAAAAGCCCTCAGAATCCAGGGCTCAGTGTGGAGGGAGGGAGGAAGGAGCACAGGCAGCTCACTTTCCTAACATCTGTGCACAGCCTGCAGGGGGACTCACCTGAGGTAGAGAAGAACGGTCCAGAGGATGCCCAGGGACACTGGCGGAAGATGAAGAAGATGGCGGGGAAGATGAGAGCAAAGGCCATGAAGACAGAGGAAGAGGAGAAGATTCCTTGGAAGGTGACAGACTTCTTTTGTTTGCTGGTGTTAGATCTACCAAGAAAAGGACACACTCTCCATTACAGAGCTGTTGGGTTATCGCGAAAAGAGGAGGTTACAGTTCTACAAGCAGTGCCTGGAAGGGAAAGATGTCAAAGACCGACTCTGAGGTTCCAGTGACCATGGCTTGGGACATGAAGCCAGAGGCAGGATCCCACGGGGAAGAGGAGGCTCCAGGCCATAGCACTTCGTTTTCTTGTGGGAATGTTTCTGACAGAGACCTGACCTGGGTCTTCAGAGTGCTTCTCAGAAATGGACAGCTACCTCTAAAGTTTCCCTAAAGCCACAGTGGGTGGGAACTGGGGCTGTATGAAATCATTCCATCAATAAAGCATCTGAGGTTTCTTCTCACAAATGCCAGACCATTAGCTGTGGGCAGGACAGATACTACTAATGAAATGCAGTCTCCCTCTCATGTGTGCCCAAGGGGCTCTCAGACAAGTGAGTAGCCACACTCTAAGGGAACGCATGAGGGAGGTCACAGTGATACCAAACCTTTTGATGCACATGGAGTGGGGCCTGTGCCAAGCTCCTGTTGGTCAGGGAACAACAGGAGCTCAGAGATGTATGAGAAAGGAACATTCTGGGACCTGGGGATCCATCTGCTCATCTGGTCTTCTGAGAGCAGAATTGTGACATTTATAGCCTGTGAGATGTCCCAGGACATAAGCTCCTCTTCCTTCTACCCTTCCCCTTCCCCTTCCTCCTCCTCTTCCTCATCTTCTTCTTCTTCTTCCTCCTCTTCTTCCTCTTCTTCCTCTTCTTCCTCCTCCTCTCCTCCTCCTCCTCCTCCTCTGTTCCTCCTCCCCTTAAGCCCCAAATCTCAGGTACTTTATCTCCATATTGGACCATTTCAGATAGTTATCTGTGTTCAAATAGATTCAGAAACATGCCACACAGTATTCCAGATGTGCCCACTCATATCTGACCCTCAGCCCATCAAGCTCTTTCATGGAACACGGTGGCACATATTGGCATTCCCAGGCACTCCCAGGGTCACTGTGCCTGAAACCCCAACTTCTGGCTTCTGGGCACTCAGCTGACCCATTCGGATCCCTCTCCAAGATGTCCAGCCTTCAGGGTTTGGCTCACTTCTTAGTTCAACACAGTGTCCTAGGCCCAGTTTCCTCAACACTTGGGATGAGAGGCTCCTCCTCAGGGACTCACCCAGGCCAAGCCAAACCCAAATCTACCCCCAGTGAGAGTAACACCGAGTCCTGTTCCTAGGGGGGCAACAACCACAATACTCTCTGCCACTTCTCCACACAAACACAAGCATATCAAATGGTGTATCCCAGACCTGGGTTCTGACAAGATGGCTACCACGCACATATGGTAAACAAGCTCCCAGCTGGAAGCTCCCTGGATGCTTCTGAGGGAAAAGATGACTCCAGGCGACAGATCTAAGGATGTAAGGGTGGGCAAGAAGGAGCTGCTGAGAGAGAGGCCACTGGCCGCCAGGAGCTGACGTGGGGGAGGTGGCTGGCCTGTCTCCCAGTACCCGCACCCTCGTCTCAGCCCACAATAAGATGGTTCGAGCCTAAAAAGGCAAAAGTTGTGAGTCAGTTGTTGCCTTGCTTCCTGTCCTCAGCTCGCCAAATTCCTGACAAATTCCTTCTCCCCCTCTTCCTCGCCCCCTCATTCTCCTCTCCTGCCATCTTCTGAATCAAGCTCCTTAACTCGTCTCAGAAGTCATCTGGGCTGCACAGACTGCCTTTTGTTTCTCGGAGGCGTCTCAGAGCCTTATGACACACAGCTACGGACACCTCGGGATATAAGCCTGACAGAAAAGCCATGCTGTCCCCAAGGTCATGATCCGGCAGCTGTCCCCTCTTCTCTCCTTTCTTTAGTTTTTTTTTTTTGGACCGGGAATTGAACTCAGGACCTTGCACTTGCCAGGCAGGTGCCTGTGCCTCTGAGCTATATCTCCGGCTCTCCTGTCTTTAATCCTTCCTGATCAGCCGAGTCTCTCTACGGTGTCCCCAAGTCCTGCGTTACAGACAGTGCTCACAGAGGGCTTGAGGAGGCGGGAGGCGAAGCCCTTGGTCAGGCCAAGCCTTTGTCCCTGGGCTGCCATTCCAGCCACTGCTGAGGAAGGGGCCCCACTGGGGAGGGACAGAAGCCGGAGCCCAGCTGCGAGGTGGTGGGGAGTCCTGGCTACTCCATAGGGAGCTTCGGGTGAGCAGCCTCCAGCCTCTTGGGTCAAGCGCTTGTGATTCCTCCTCTTGCGCCCTCTGGCAATAGCTACCTTTTCCCTTTGATGGTTATTCTGGTCAGCATGTTCAGCCAAGGGAGGTGACCATGGTCTGCTTCTTACTACAGAACCAGCCTGACCTGCTGGGGTTTTCTGTTGAGCGAAATGAAGCTAGCAAAAACGTGTCTCGTGGCTTTCAGTTCTGGCGATTTTCGATGTTAGAGGCCCTGCAAGGATCGAATCCCATGCAAAGTCTTGGAGCGCCCTCTAGGGGCAGCAGCGTGCAAGTCATGCGCTCTATTTGCTCTCAGTCGTACCTACCAAGCTTGTTCCTGGTTCATTCCTTCTTTCTCTCACTCATTCTCTGAGCAAAGACGGACTGGGTGCCTCTCGAGGACAGACCATGCTAAGGACTCTGCCCCACGAGGACCTGCCCGGATAAATTCACAATCATACACAGTCCCAGACCGACCCTCAGGTTGTCAGTGCCCTGGGACGGCTGGGGCAGGGCACTGAGCGAGGACAGGTGGAACATCAGTTCCCTCCATCCTCTGGCTCACTGCCTGGGTCTGTCGGATTTTCCAGCGTCTGTCGCTTTAGACGGCCCCCAGTGCAGCGGCCTGTCCATGTGTGCCGCGCTGGTCCAGCGCCAGAGGTGACCCCTGTCCCGACCTGACCCAGCGAGGGCTGGCGGGTCTGGGGTGGCGGGAGAATGACTCACTGGCCGGTAGTCAGCGGTGACTCAGGAGTTAGAAAACCAGGGCTTCCTTCCAGCTGCAGCAGCAGCGCCCCGCGGTAGAAACTCTGCCCAGCCGGAGAGTACCCCTCGCTTTCCGCAGACCGTGGAGAGAGTGTGGGGGCAGGGCGCTCGGAATCAGATGGGGTCCCGTCCCCTAGCTTAGGGCCTCCCGATAATTTCCACTCAGTCACTGCCGCCTCCCTGCCCCCACCCCCTGGCCCCAATGTGAGCCAGCCCCAGGCCCCGAGTCTGTGTGCGTGGCACTGTGCCCCCTGGTGGGAGCCCCGGTCCTCGCCCTGCCTTGCTCTTCTTAAGACGAAGCCTGCTCAGAAAATGGAGCAGGGCTGTAACATGTATGTGGATAAGTCGGTGAGTGAGTCTGTCTGTCTGTCTGTGTGTCTGTCTGTCCGTCTCCTCCTACAACATATTGCCTCCAACCGCAGGATCCAAAGAGCTGATACCCCAGCCACCAGAATCCAATCATACACAGTCCCAGACCGACCCTCAGTTTCCTCCTTCGTGTTTCTCATGCTCGCTACCTCCCCTTCCACCAGTGATCGTGTAGGGCCTTAGGGCTCCAGGACCCCAGAAAGGGCAGGAGGTGTCTCAAGCCCATTGGTGACTGCTTCCTGGACTCAGCGGCTGAAATCAAGTCAACCTCCTTTTTTGCCCTTGCTCCTCACATCCTGGAGGCCCGTCAGAGAGGACACCATGTAAGGAATGAGAAGAGGAGCATGAAGCAGAGAGCTCCTGCCCACCCACCCCACCCTCTCTCCGAGAGCGTGTGACTCACTTGAGGGGAATTTTCTCCAGTTCTGGTGATTGCTTGGAGCCTGGAAGCTGTTGGCCCGATGCAGAGCTGGAGTGAAAAAACAGAGGGGTAAGGAAGATGGAGAGGGAATCTGAGTCCTTTGTACTTGTGGAATAAAGAGAGAGTCCCCCCTGCTGCCCATTGACCAAAAGTGGGCAGTTGGATGATCACAACTGGCTGAGCCCTTTCCTTCTCTCTCACCGTATTTCCTGCCCCCACCCTGTTTTTCATTCATCATTCATCAAATGCCCATTGAGAACTTGCTTTGGTACCGGCACTGCCCTCTGTTAAAAGTGCCTCCAATAACTTAGCTATCATTCTAAATCACTAGTCACAAATAAGCCCCTCATGCATGCAGGTGTATATACAAACACGTAGATGCAAACATATATCTACATGCATGTGTGTGTATGTGTTAGGGTTTCTATCTAGAATGTGTCCCCAAAGCCTCATGTGTTCAGAGGCAGGGCTTTTGGAAGGTGGTTGGGTCATGGGGCGCTGTACTCATCAGTGGATTAATTCACTGATTCATTCATAGCTGAATGTGCTATTAGGAGGCAGGTCCTGGTCAGAAGACATGGTTACTTGGGAGTGTGACCTGGAAGGATGTGTCTGCTTCTCCTGTCCCTCCCTTCTCTCTCTGCTTTCTGATCATTATGCTATGAATAGCTTTCCCCTGCACCAGGTTCTTCTACCATGTTGTGTCTGCCTTTAGGCCTGCCAATCATGGACTGAAGCTTCTGAATCTGTGAGCCAAAATAAGCACCTCTTCTTTTTTTGTTTGTTTGTTTGTTTTTCTTCCGGTACCAGGAATTGAACTTACGACCTTGCGCTTTCCAGGCAGGCACTTTGCTGCTGAGCTAAATCCCCAGCCCCAAGCACCTCTTCTTTTAAGTTATGGGTGTCAGGTATTTTGTCCCATTGATGAGACAGTGACTAAGACCATATCCATGCATCTATGCACCCATTCATTTGTATCCAAACCATTCTTTAAAGCTGAGGTCGCACAGCAATGTTCACAGTAATGTAAGAGATTAAAAGCTGGAGGTGTTTCGATTAGAGCCAGAAAGCTGCAGAAAGTTATCCTCTGCCTTCCCTTCCCTCTTTCAGAGCCCCGCAAACCATGGAAACTGGTTTTAACTGAGCTGCTGGACAATCCGTTGCCAGCACCGTCCTGTGGCCTGGTCCACTGGAAACGCATTTGTAGGACATTGTATAACTCCCACTGACAGCCCTCTGCCCAGCTGTACCTTAAAAATTAACTTAGCAAAATGAATACTGCATGCTACAGAAAATGGGTCTTGGCCCTTGGCATGAGAGTAGGCAGTGGGACCCAGCTGCACCCTGCTGCCAGGCAGCACCCTCGGATTACATCTCAGGCCCTGCGCCTCCATCACAGCCTGAGAGAAAGAATGGGCATCACACTGCATATCTGGGTGCTATGAAGGTGTACGTGAGATCTGGGCGAGGGAGAAGGGGAAGGTGTGACACAGAGCTCCCTGAATCTGGGTGGGGCCAGGGTTCATCCACACCCCTGCAGTCCTAGACGCTCTAGTCTGTGCCCTGGGGCTTTCTTTTCTTAGAATAAGATCCTGGCCTTCTTAGATCCTTGGCTCAACCTCCTCCCTTTGCCCAGTGAGAATGCTTTGTGTCGGGCTGGCCTGGTGGGTTTCCAGTCCTACAACTCTTCTCTCAAGTTCAAGGGTCTAGGAGGAGCCAGTGTGGATGGGTGACGAGAGCAGTCTCCCACCTTCCCGCTGTCAGAGGAACAGTCCACCAAGATCTTCCACCTGGTTTTCCAGGCTGCGAATTTTTCATAAAGAGCAGGCAGGCCTTAGGCACAGTTCTTTCCTCCTGACACTTAATGAAGAAATCACTCACAAAAATGTAAGAGTTCTCACAGCTTCGACTGCTCTTCCTCCACTTTTAAGTTTGTGGAATGGAACTTATTAAAAGTGGCTACAATTCATGCAAGATTTTCCATCACTAGTGTTTATGGGGTACACACGCACACGTCCTTACCACAACAGAACAAGAGGGTGAGTAGTAGAGATTTGATCTAGTAATTCTGAGCAGCATAAATCTGGGCCAGTTCCCTTCTTTCAGCTTACGCTTTATGTGTATTTATGTATTTGGTATTTACTTCAAACAAGCACTTTTGGAGAGCTCAGTGCATGACCTGCTGCTCAAGGAGAAAGAGGGTAAGAATTTTGCCATATGGTGCTGATGATCTCATGTTATTGTTACAAACTAGTGGTGTCCTCCATATGCCATTGGGCCATCCTGTTATCAAATTATTGCCAGAAAAAAATGGATAAGTACCAATTCTTCCATGCCAGAATAATTTGGGGGCAGATTGCCCTCCTAAATCTAATTGGTTTTGGTTCAAGAATCCAATGCACTAGATGCATCCATTTAGTTGCCCGGGCACACACAGCACGATTAATTTACTCCAGCAGATCCTCCAGGAAGCTGCCCTTCTTCGATTTTCGAACTGTGGGACATGCCCATCTGTACTGGGGAGTCTGGGATGCTCACACCCAATGCAGACACTCAAGCACTTGAAGTTCAGTGGGGACCCCAGAATCTGTCTTTTAAGTAAGATTTAAAAGAATCCCTGGATGGGATTGGTTTATGGTTTGGATTTTACGCCGTCCCCAAAGGCCCACATCTTAAAAGACTTGGGGGCCTGCCTGTGGTGTTATTGGGAAGTGGTGGAGGAACATGCAGGAGATGGGATGGAGGAGAAGGAAGTGAGGACATTGCTTTCAAGGGGATATTAAGACCCTGGTTCCTTCCTCTTTTTCTTCTGGCTTCCTGGTTGCCACAACTTGAGCAGTTTCCTTCACCATGTTCTTCCACCATGATGAGCTCTCTGGACCCAAAGGCGATAGGGCCAAGTGACCATGGCCTGAAATCTCTGAAACCACAAGCCAAAATAAATCTTTCCTCTGTATGAGTTGTTCATGTTGGGCATTTTGTCATGACAATGGAAATCCATTACACAGCTGGTTTAGGGGAGGGTGCCCTACGGCTCGCATAGCTCGCGGTGTAAGTTATGCGTCAAGCCCTCGTCTTGGGCATGCTCTGTGTTATAGAACTTTGATGATGTTACAGGTTCCCTGAGGTACTGAGGCAGTCCAAGAAATCTCTTGATAAATGTTGGCAAGATGCACACAACATAAGAAGTACCATTCAGCCACTTCTTAAACTTTTGTCAGTGTTTTATAAAAAGTTACAGTTTGGGAACAACCAAAAAGAAGAAGAACATACGGCAAGAGAGGGGGACAGGTATGGAGCACGTGTGCATGAGCCCTTCGCATGTGTTCATCCACCCTGAAGCTTTGCAAATCTTGAAACCAAGGGATTCAATGGCATTAAGGAGCTTACATTGTGGTATCGTCATCGCTGCCACCCGTCTCTAGAGCTTCTCTCATTTCTACACTGAAGCTCCCTTCTCACTAATGAGAGACCCCCATTCCCTTCTTCCTCCAGCCCTGGTGACCACCGTTTATTTCCATTATCTATAAATTTGGCTACTCTGGGCACCTGTTACAAGTCTCTTTATGTCTGGCTTCACACATTATCACTGCACACCTGTCCGCAGAGTTCATCTGTACTGTATCATATGTCAAAACGTCATTCCTTTTGAAGGTTGAATAACATTCTTTTGAGTAGATTTGTCATTTTTTTGTTTATCCATTCATCTCTGGACCGCATTTGGTTTGTTTCCTTCTTTGAGCCATCATGGATATGCTGCTTGGAGGACAGATGCACAAACCAGGCCTGGCCATGCCCTGGTTGGCCTTCTCTAAACCCACCTCTGACACCTTACTCTGAGTAAGAACCATAGCTAAGGGAGCTCAGTGATAACCACTCATGAGGTCAACCCTGCATTATTTGGGAGGGCAATGGGCTCGCCATAACCAGCACTTTGACTTATGCCAGAGATTTTAACCTTATAGTGTGGCTTATCAACTGTCAAAACCCCAGTTGATAAAGATGAAATCAACAAAGGATTGTTTGGAAGTTGCACAGCTTACCCACTTCTTTATGTGCTCTGTATTTTACTTTAGAGTTAAACAGACTGTCAGAAACCAAATGCTTTGGCCTGACCACTTTAGTCTGTGGAGCCCCAGTCCACAACTCACCAAGTCATGACTTGCTGTCAGGCCCCTACCTGCTGCTAAGGTAGTGCTGTAAGAAACAGCCTCTGGGAAAGGATAGCTGAATTTTCTTTTTTTTTTTTTTTAATTTAAAAGAAGGATAACATAATAATAGGGGGGACTTAGCAAATTACAGACAAAATGGTAGGAAATTATCAATGGTTATCGTTTTACATATTATTATCTACAAAATAGTTTCTCAGGAAAACAAATAGACAAATAATAGTGAGTTAGAGACAAAAGAGGTAGGAGATTATCAAGAGTTGTGCTATACTTTGGTATCTTCAAAGTGGCTTCTAAAGAAAATAAATAGAGCTATACATGAGTGACCTATTGAAAAATCCTTAACTATTCTCAATGGTTGTTGTAGGAAACACATAATAATAAACATACATCCATTTATGAAATAGGATAGAAACATTACAAACTTTACACAGTTATGGATAGATTAGTAGGAAAATATCAATGGCTGCTGTAATACGTGGTGGTATCTTCAAAGTGGTTTCTCAGGAAGACAGAGATATGCAAGAAGGATCTAATAAGTAGTTACAGCCTAAGGGTTGTCAAAAATAGCATATTACCTCCTCACCAGTGACTCCTTTCACTGAGGTATGATGGCTGGAAGGAAGGCCAGGATTGAAAAGAAGGACCGAGAGACTTGCACCTGTGTCTAGCAACAGGCTGTTTTCTTGTTCCTCCATAGTCATGATTACCCAGGACTCCTCGATGGAGATGATGATCTGGCCAGAGGGAGAAGGCAGACCATGCCCCAAGCCCTCTCATTCCTGTTGGACTAACTGGTAGCATGGGTCTGATCTCTGGGGCCTCCACCTCAGAGGGCAGACCGATCTCCTTTGCATCCAGGGCATGGCCCATGGGGCCTCTTAGGGCAGTTCCTCTTGAGGTGGCCTGGCTTTTAACAGTGGTAGCAGATGAATGTAGTTGTCAAGTTCTTCTTGGAGCCCCGGGAATCAGACCTGGGATCTGTTTCTCTTAGTGGTGCAGCAAAAGCAGCTGCTTTTTCTCGGTCTCTTTGTTTTCTCTCCTTGGCCTCCTCCTCGTCATGGCTATAGAATACTGAGGAGGCAATTCTTACTAACATCTCAAGTGAGCTATCTGGGGTGAAAGCCATTCTTTGTAGCTTTTTCTCTCCAGCTTCCCATTGCTTTGGGACCCCACAACCAGTTAGTGTCCTCTCCCCAACTGTCAGCACAGGCAGCAGGAATCTTGCTGCAGACTTCTCCAGAGCTTCACCACAGCCTGTACTGTCAGGGGAAGAATGGCTTCCAAGGAGTCTCTGCAGGTATTGTGCAAGGTCCTCCTGGTTTACAGCTTCCGAGCGGCTCTCGTGACCCCAGTCCACTGGACCTCTGACTCCATGGGCTTAGTCTGCATTCTCATGTTCTCTGAGTCCTTGTTCAGCAGCTGCTCCTCCGCTGGCTCTGGACCTTTCTGGTTCTCAATGGCAGGAGCAAGAGTGGCCCGTTGTATGGCATGTATTCCCAGGGGTTTTTCAAAGTTTCAATGATTCACACACATCCGTGGGTGGGCAACTGCAGTCGGTGCATGGTGGGCCAATTGTGTCACTGTTTCTCTGTGTCATGATAGATCTCAATTGAGCGGCGGCGGCCGGCCTAAGGGCTGGCGAGCAACAGCGCTCGCCGCCGCATGGCTCCCCATGCGCTGGGGGCCCACCCTCTGGGAGCCAGCAGGCAGGAAGCTAGCCAGCTGGAAGACTGGCGCTCCCCACCTGCTGCTCCCTGTGCACCGGAAGCCCTCCTTCCGGGGAACAACGAGGCCAGGAGTGATAGCTGAATTTTCTGAGGGGTCATTGTTTAAGACATGATCTAATATATCCCTCAAATACTCAGCACACAAGTTGCAAACTTTCTATAGACCTAAGCTCTAGGAAAAGTTGTGTGTCCTCGGAGACCTAATAATACATATTTTTTTCCTCTTGGACAATGAGAATAATAATTGTCTGGGTTCGTGTTTTAACACTGGCTGTTTAGAGCTAGGGCCTGCTTCTCTGGAGTCTATGGCTCCTGAACTGGTTTTGCTAACCTCCATTCTGAGACTTCCTTTTGTATACATACATGTTATGTCTTATCGTTTTGTTTTAGATCTTCCTTGTAAGTTGTCTAACATCCCATAGCAGCTGAGCAGAGAGGAGAAATAGGGGCAGGGGAATGAATGACAGGCAGGCTTCTTACTGTGAACAGGGTCACCCGATTCCAGAGAGACAGAAGTCTAAGTACCGAGGGTTACGGTGATCGGAGGCAAAGCCAGTAAGCACCCTGTTCACGGCCTGTGCTGAGACTTTGTGGATAGCCCTAAGCTAGTACTTAAAAATGTGTTTGATAACAACTTTCCCTTTCTTTAATAAAGCCCAACATGGAAGATAAATTCAGAATTTCCAGGATTTAAAAATATTTTATGAGTTCCTTCTGGCCCCAGCTCTGGTGTTCCTGGCAAACGATTACTGGTGAAGGACTGGGGGGAGATTCTGCTCTTGGCCACCAGAGAGCGGTGCAGGACAAGTTGAGTTCTAGATTGCACTGGGCAAGGAAGGTGGTGCTGAAGGTGGTTAAGTCTCTATTAGCGGGTCTCTGCCTAGGCCTTCCCAGAAGGCCAAATCAGATGATTTGGTCACAAGAACTACTGATTGAACCGAAACGCTCAATTCCAGACCATCTTCTTTAAGACAAGCTGGGTTGCTAAAGATAATTCTAATAGGCCTCATTCTAATAGGCCAGAGCTCAGGGGCTGGTGTCACCATGCCCCAGGCTGCACTGTTCACTGGCTGAGACCTCAAGAAAGCACAGCCTGCTCTCGCAAAGAGGCTCCGTACGACTACCTCGCAGGACCTACCTGGGATGGAATGGGGCTGCCTGTAGGAAAAGTCCAGGACTCACTGGAAGTGCACTGTACTGTGTAGGTGAATTTTGGGTACATCCCATAAACCCCACATGCCCCTTGGCATGTGCCCAGTGGTCCCAGGAGACTGAGTTGACCAGGCTCATATCCCTTCTTTGGGGTGCTGGAGAGGCCCCTGAGGGGATACCCAGAAAAGAGGCCGGGGGAGGCTGCTCTAGGCCGGAGGGACTGGGCCTGCTTATCCCTATCAGCCAATAGCTGACCGGGCCCCTCTGATGTCTTTTCACTCAGGACTCCAAAGCCTCTCATGGGAAGGGTGCTAGATCTGGGTCCACACCCCTCATGCGCTGTGACCTCTGAGCCTGAAGGTGATCCCACCCATCACCTGGGCCCCTGTGAGAGTTTGGTCATGAGAGTCTCTGCTGCACCTGACTATCCCAGGAAGTAGCACAGTGGACCCTCTGCTCACCTTGCCCAGTGTGTGGCTCCTCAGGGTCACGTGGAGAGGCTGCCCTGGTCAGGGGCTCCCTCAGGGAGCTGTGCCGGAAGAGGGGCTTTGGTAGAGGCAAGGATTCTGGTTGCCAAGGTCTCCCTTCATAGGGCTTGGTGCTGGGGACCTCACTGTCACCATGGTCAGACTCTGTGTCGGAGCTGAAAGAGGAAGGAAGGGTGGTGAGCCAGCAGTCCTAGCAGCCCCTCCCCTGCATCTGCTCCCTTACAGCCTCCTGTAGAACTTGGAGTCTGGGCCCAAGACAGAGGTTTAGTTTTTCTCTGCTTATGCTCCAGCCTTGGACTTTGTTACGGGCTGAATTACGCCCCCTAAATTCATATGTTGGGGTCTTTGCCCCAATACTTCAGAATGTGACTGCATTTAGAGATAGGGTCAGTAAAGAGATAATTAAATCAAAGTGAGGTCATTAGGGTAGGATCGCATCCTCTGTGACTGATGTCCATATAAAGGAGTGTTATGGTTCAGATGTCCCCTCAAAGTCTCATGTGTTCAGAGGTGGGACTTTTGAAAGGCAGCTGGATCATGGGGCTACTCTACTCATCAGTGCATGGCTACATTGATGAATTCATAGCTGAAAGTGCTGTTAGGAGGTAGGGCCTGGTTGGAAGAGCTGGATCACTGGGGGGCGTGAGCTTGTAGGGGATGTCTCCCTCCCCAGCTCCTCCCTTCTCTCTCTGCTTCCTGACACCATGAGGTGAGCAGTTTTCCTCCAATCTGCCTTCAGCATGAGGTTTCTGCCTTAGAGCCAGCCAATCATGGACAGAATTCCCTGAACTGTAAGCCCATGAAACTTCTCTTTTAAATTGTCAGTGTCAGGTATTGTGTCCCAGCAATGGGAAAGTCGACTAATAATAAGAGGAAATCTGGACACAGACATGAATAGCAGGGAAACAGGAAGATGGTCATCCACAAGCCAGCGAGAGAGGCCAGAGCAGACCCTTCCCCTGCAGCCCTGCATAGGAACCAACAGCCTTCGGAACTGTGAGGAAATAAATGTCTGTTGTTTATGCCTCCAGTCTGGAGACTTTGTTATGGCAGCCAAGCAGACGGATGTAGCTGGGATCCGATAGGAGGAAGATCCTGGCAAACATCAATGAACAACTTGCACGAAGGCTGGTCTCACTTGTCCCCATCCCTGGGGATGGCTCCCAAGTTCTCTGGAGCCACATAAGTGCACACTTGGTCCTAAAATTTCAGGTACTGAGATACTGCTTTCCTCCAGAATGGGTGGAGGGTAGGAAAGACATTCTGGAGTAAGTATTTAATATGGCTGTAGGTAATTGGCAGGAATTCAAGCGGCAGAAAAATGGGGTGCAGGTCCCCTGTTGAATAATCTCAGGCCTCTGGAAGGAGGATGAGACTCCTGGTTCAGTAGCTTTCTGTTGCCCCAGCTGACAGCCAGCGTGATCTGGAAGCAGAACTCGGGTGAGCCCATCACAACCCGCACTGCCCACCGAGCCTCACAGGCCATCAGAGATGGGTTCACTCATTCTCTTCGGGGCTAGTTTGTTACTCTGTATTATTGTGGGAATTGATAGAATGGATAGATCCTTTTGTGGCCACCTAGTCTAAGGTAGCTGACCTGTAAATCTTCATGACACACCTTTACTTGGCACATATGCAATACAATATTTTTCTTGTTAAATGCTTCCTTGCTTACTAGCTGTCTACTCAACTTAATGAAACATGAGTGAGAGCAAGAACTTTGTCTAGCGTTGGTCTCTGCTGACTGCCGTCAGTCAGGGAATTACTCAGCAGTCGGTACTTGCTGTTGCTCAGCCTCCTGAATGAACCAGTGTGTCCACAAAATCCCTGGAACCTGCACTTCTAATAAATGGGGGTCTGATGCAGGTGGTGAGGCCAGCACTGGGAGAAGCAATCTTCGAGGCTCTGGGATTCCTACCCCGCTATCCTATGTTCTCTCCTGCCCATCCTGACCTTCTCACTGCTGTGCATCACCATCTTACAATGGGAGGCCCCTGGAGCCCCTCCTGGGACAGATGATACCCACTGGGTCCCTTGCTGCAGCCTACATGGTAAGCATCCTTGGGAGAAGACAGTGGGGCCAGGGCCTCTACCTTCTCTGAGAAAATAGCCACCACTAATCATTACAGTGCTTGTGGTGCACTGAGCACTGTTCTCTACACCATACATATGTTCATTCCACGATCCTCACAGCTCCCATTTGACAGATGAGGAAAGAGGCCCAAAGAGGTACCTCCGCCCACAAGTGGACGGCAGATCCCAAATGCTGCCCCAGCCCTGCAGTAGCCTGGCATACCTGCTGTCCTCGCAGTCGACCAGGACACACACAGCCAGCACATCCTGCCCAGTGGTGTCCTCCCCAGGGTTGAACCTCACCGAGGTCCATTCGGAGGGCAGGGGCGAGGTGGCTTCACTGTCCATGTCACTGGGCTGTGGCTCAGCAACACTCTTCGGCTTCTTGGGGGAGGTGGGCTCATCTGCTGAGAGGAGAACAGGGGCTAGAGGGACAGTGGGACCAAAGGATCAGGGTGGGATTGGAGGGACAGGCCTGGCGCCCACCTGGATACCTTCAGACTGACCTTTTCATCTTCTGTGCTGTGACTGGAGCAGCCTTGCCCCTCCTACCTCCCACATGCAGGATTCAAATGCATCCTATTTAATCCGGAGGGAGGGTCCTGCCCTATGGAGAGGCCCACCCCAGGCTCAGCAGCCTCTGAATTGCCAATGTCAAAACTGCCACCTCTATCCTGTTGTTAGACATGGGGGTGATGTCTTAGCCCTTGTCTTAGCAGGACCCCACACTCTGGGCCTCTAGGATGGCTCTGTCTGGCTTCCACCTCTCCACCTCGCCTTCCTGCTGGGTCCACTTGGCTGATCCCGTCTCCTGCCCACCACTAAGGGCCACAGGGCTCCGTCTCCTCTGTCTCCGCTCACGTCCCTGATGGTCTCACCTGGGCTTGTGGCTCTCCCAACCTTACACACAGTGACTCCCAGATTTGTACCTCCAGCCTGGACAGTTCCTCAATTTGGGACTCAAATACCCATCCTACCATGCCTTTGGCATCTCCATGCGGATGTTTAACAGAACTTTCAAACTCCAAGCGCCAACACTGAACACTTCCTTTTCATCCCCCCCAGATCTCTGTCACCCCCATCACCCCCAGCTTGGTAAACAGGAGTTTCAGCTCTGGTGGCTCAGAGCAGCCCCTTCCTGGCATCCGTGACTTCTCTCCTTTCATTCTTCACCGAGCCACCTGCAAATCCTGATAGCTCTGCCTTCAAGCTGCACCAGGAATTCGTCACCTCTCTCTCCGCTACCACCTCCTCCCAGCCCCAGCCACCTCTTTCCCGGATGACAGAAGCAGCCCCCACCTGGGCTCCCAATCCCCAAACCGCCATGCTCCAGCACCGTCTTTCTCGACAGCAGCCAGAGCGACCCTGTTAGGACACAAAGCAGATCGTTCCATCTCCCTGCTCAGAATCCACCAGCGGCTCCTTATTTCACTCAGGGGTGAAGCTGAAGAGTCCTATTTAACGTAGGCCCAGTGGCTCCTGTAACCTTGTGTCCTTGCCCTCCCCTGGCTCACTCTGCTCCAGCCTGTCACCTCCTTTCTGTAGGCCCTTTGCACTGCTCTTTGGTCTGCTAGCAGATGCTCTGTCCTCGTATCTTGTGCAAGGATCCCTCACTGCCTCTGGTCTTTGGCGAATGCCAACTTCTCCATGAGCCGCCCTGACCACCGGTGCACCCTGCAGCCCAGGCCCTCAGGGCCGTCCATCCTCCCTTCGTTTTGCTCACAGCACGTCTAGCCTTCTAGAAATGATACAACTATTTTTTGTTGTGTTTATTGTCTCTCTCTCGGCACTAGAATGTAAGCAGTGAGTTTGGTCTGCTTCGTTTGTTAGAATTATGCCTGGTAAACAGTCCACGCTCTGTAAATGCCCATTGGGTGAGTTCAAGAATGAATGAACCCTAGCTCATCTTGGCCACCAGCTAAGTGGGGGGCTCCTTCTCTGGTCAGAGTGCAGCAGGTGTCCCTGTTCCTTTCTAAGGTAAAGCCCTCCACTGAGCTTGGCTTATTATCTCCAATAAGGGTCACGATAGCCTATCTTTCCTATGTTCTTAACTTCTTTGCCTACTGGATCTTTCTCATCAGTATTTAAATACACTGACCATTCTCCCGTTTTAAGAACCCCTTTTAAATTGCAGATCCCACCTTTATGCCATTCTCTTTTTTCTCCTCTTACCCAGTCTTCTTGGACGATTTTACTGCGTTTACTTTCTCTGCTTCTTTATTAATCCCCTATCCTGCATATTGCCCCCCCATCCAAACTGTCCCTTTCTGTTGCTAAGTTGAGTTCACAGGCCTTTGGGTCCTCTGGAAGCCCCCTCCTCCTAGCTCTGAGGGACACTTTCATTCCTGTCCTCTCCCGTTGCTGCTTCCCAGCCACCCAGCCTTTCAGACAACTTTGGAACACTGCCTTCTCCCTGCTTACACCAGACACCCCCCATTCCCTCTGGGAGATGTTATCAGTTCTCTATTTCCTGCTTGGGAAGACAGCTCAAGAAATTCTGATTTTTATGTGAAGTGTCTCCAGTTCAAAAACATCCTAGGGTCAAACAAAATCTATCCACAGGCAGACTCAGCCAGTGGCTGCCTGTTAGTTACCCCTGGTGCGTGTGTGTGTGTGTGTGTGTGTGTGTGTGTGTGTGTGTGTGTACTTGTCCACACTTTATGCTAGTGTACCTGGGCATGGTGGTGTTGAGAACTATTACTGCATGCTGGGCTGGATGATGATGATGATGATGATGGGGTGGTATTGGTGGTGATAAGAAAGGTAGTAGCAGCTCACTTTTACTGGGTGCTCAAGATATACCGTGAATTATTTGAGCACAGTTCATATACTAAATCTATTAAACTTATGCAATCCTCTGACAAGCATTACTACTATCCCCATTTCCCTGCTGAGAAACCTAAGTACAGAGAGGTTCAGGCACTTGTACATGGTCATGTGTCCCTCAGAGGACAGGGACCAAGCCTGTGTGTCTGTGAGCAGGACAGAAGGTGAGATCGAGTTGGAACTGTGTCCCCAGTTCTCCATTTGCTTCCTCTGGTAGAGCTGTCCTTTGTCCTGGGCCTGTGCACCCTTCCCTGGTGTGGGTGGGGAACGCCTCCCTGCCCCATGGATGTGAGGCCTGGCTGTGAGACTTGCTTGGACCAGTGGAGGTTCATGGGTGTGACCGGTGCAGAGGTTTTAAGTGGACCCGCTCAGCTCTGCCAGTGACACTCATGCTCTGGTAGGTCACCACGAAAAGAGCTTGATTCAGACAACCACTGCACCTTCAGCCTGGGTCCCTGGGCGGGGGCACAAGGAACAGACCTGGAGCCAGTCCATGCCCTGGAGCCCAGCGCAACTCACCTTTAGATCCGCACATCTAGTACTGTGGCAGAGCTCTGACTATGCCTGCTTGCACCTGAGTGCAGGCATGTGGGTGCCTGTGAGCCCAGTGCCCAAAATGTGTCCATCTAACGGATACCTTGGCCTTCCTCAGGCCTGGGCCTGTGCTCAGATTGGCAGCTGAGTCAGCCAGCATGGTCCCTGCTTTCAAGGACCTCTTTGTGTCCCGCAGGAGAGGTAAGGCATGTCCACAGATGTCTAGATTACAGGGTAGGCCATCTGAGAATGAGGTGGCAGAGAGATGGGAGGGCAGAGAGATGGGAATTCCACCACGTGGAAATTGGCCTGGGGGGTGGGCAGGATGGGAGGACAGCGGGAGGGGAGGCTGTGTTCTGCAGGTGGGGCTTGGAGGGAAAAGAAGGTGTAAACAGCCATCATCTGCATGGGAAGCTTGTGGCTGAAGGCAGGAGGGCTTCTTAGGGAAACAACAAGTGGGAAATGATTCCTGGACATCCAATCAACCAGGGCCTTGGACAGTGAGGCACAGAGGGTTTTACCCCAAGAGCAGCCACCGTCTGGCTTGAAGCTGGGGACTGGCATTGTCAGATGAGCCTCATGGAAAGGTCCCCCTAATGGCAGAGTGGGAGGTGGCTTTGGAGACCCACACGGAGGGGTGGAGCGGGGTGGACACACGGCAGCCTGGCAGCATGTGTTAGATACAGCGGGTGCAGGTGAGTTGAGCCAGGCTGCGTGGCACGAGGCCCACAGCCCTCACAGCTCAGGGACCTGACAAGACCCGCCCCACAGGAGGTCCTGTTTTCCCTTCCCACTCCAGAGAGTTCTGGCTTTGCCAGCAGAGCTGAGATAGAACTGGGACTCTGCCTGGCTCTGTGGGCTTCTGGAAGGGCAGAGAGATTAGCTGACCCATAGTCCCTGGGTATCACTGGGCAGGGTCAGCATCATCACTGGAGAGGCCAGGCCAGGCCACCAAGAGACAAAGACTGGGCCTCATCCAGGCCTACTCGTCTGCCAGCTTGCTGAGGCAACAACCCTGACGGAGAGGACACGCCCTCCTGCTTAGAGCCACCCCGGAGGAAACATTCCTCAGCTTCCACTTCCAGGCTCCTCTTCACTCCTGGGGGGCTCCTGTCCACAGCACTCCCGTCCACACCGAAAGCAACACCAGCTCAGCACCCGGCCCAGGCTTTGCACCCACCATCCCTGTCGTCCGTCAACCGTGACAAGACGGTCCCACCACTGCAGGTGGGAGAAAGTGCAGCGCAGGGAAAGCTTATAACTGGCACAGCGCTGGCGCCACCGCAGCCAACGCCTATGGCTGACGCGGAGCAGCCGTTCTGCGGCTGCGCCAAGTGAGCACCGTGGAGCGCAGCCACAGTGCCATACCTCGCCGTCTCCCCCTGGCGGCTGCTCTGAGTCTCAGACTGAAGTCGTGTGTGGTGAGGGAGAGTGCAGGGCAGCAGTGGGGACACAGCATGGTGCGGGAGGAGAAGGGTCCACGGGAGCTCCTGGGCCGAGGCCTGGGTGTCTGCGCGGGTGACTGGTCGCCTTTGGGAAATCAGAGAACTAGAGAAGCAGATGGTGCCATTTATGGGGCATTAGGACCTCCGTCTATCCCCACCCTGAAGATGTCCTGCCAGGCGCCTGCGTCCCCGCTGGTCTTGATGCTTGAAGAAATTCTCCTAGGCATACCCTGGGTACCAAGACAGGAAAGTGCTCCCTGCAAACCTGGCTGTCTTGAGTGCCAGGCGTGACACCCGGCAAGCTCACCACCTCCACCTTCACAAAACCCGACACTGGCTGCTGTGTCATCAGTCCCAGTGTGCAGAGGGGATTTGGCTGGTGCTACAGGGTCAGAACAAAGTGTGGAGCTTCAAAGCCAGGACGTCAGCTATACACTGAAGTCCCATGTAGAGCAGGCAGTCATGGGAGATGTCGCCGTGGACTCTCCTATCAATGAGCTACTCTCATCAGCTCTTCTGGAATATCAGCACTGACCTCCAGGCTGCCACGAGGAGGTGGAGAGCTAATGTGGAAGTAGCTTTTCTTAGAGCACACTAAAATG